ATATTTTAGAATAAAAATAGAAAAGCGACAAAGTGGGTGTAGTGTGTGTGTGTGTGTATGTATATATGTAGGTTTGTTTGAAACGGGTATACAATGATAAAGGGAAAATGAAATGGAATATATATATATATTTCCATATATATTCTACGTATATAACATTAATGTACATACTTGTTCATAAATGCCAGTGTTGTCTAAAAATGGAATAATGGAAAATGACTTTTAAACATTAATTCAAATTAGCTTTTAAATCCAAGATTGAGAGAGAGAGGGGGGGAGGGAGTGAGAGTAGTAGTCGTAGTAGTAATAGTAAACTGAAATAGCGAAGATGAAGTAAACATTATAACTCTTTTAGGGATAGACTATATGAATACAATAATATATATGTATATATATGTATAATGTATTCAACTTTTATTTCTCGTTTAAATAAGGGTCAAGACTTACTGACTGTTACTTTTTTGTCAGGTCAAAACACTTAATGGATATGAGTCTAGTTTTAACAATGATTGAATTGTCTACATATTTGTGTACGTGTAAGGCAAATGATATATATATATATATATATCCACAAGATGGGTAGTGGTGAAGCGCGTAATGTTTATCCCTTACATTTGGCTATCATACAATTATCAATAATTAAAATGTGTTCTAAAACAGGTGATAACGAAAAAAAACTATAAGTCAATCTAGAAATTACACAGATGAAAGCACTCATAAAAGAAAACTTCATTTATAAGTTGGTTTTTCATTATGAAGTTATTGAACTGTGGTACTTGAATTCATTTAACTGATAAACAAAATGAAATACTTTATATGATCTCAACTATTGAAATTACTAAAAATCTCCACAAAACCCTTTCTGATACTAATCAATATATGCTCACTAGTAACTGGCTTCAAGAGGTATTTCCTGGAGTTCTAGTGAAAAGCCGTAACCAGTGGAATTCAACCAGCTCAGTTGTGAGATAGTAGCTCACTGATGAAAATGGTAGACGGTGGCTCAACTTCTTGGATTGGTTAAAGTAAGATATTAACACCGTTGGATAACGGCCAGTTCAGCAATCTAATGGTTAAGCGTTCGTACACGAGAACGATAGGTCATGGGTTCGAATCCCACGAGACATGATCGTGGATGCGCACCGCTGAGGAGTCCCGCAATAGGACGAGACGACCGTCTAGTGTTTTCAGGTTTTCCATTGTGGTCTAGCTTCAATTAACTCATGATCTGAACTATTGAATTTCTGTATAAACTGATTCTTTGTTTCAACTTTATAGGGTTTTAATTGGATAGATGAAAAATACTAGAAAACATTGAGATAAATATATGATCAAGTGTACGATATCATAAATTGAAATCCTATCACTAGCCCATGACAAATGTGAAGATGTCACAGGTATTTGTAGTTTGACAACACTTTAACCAATAACACCTTCAATAATGGAAACATGCCCACCCAGTGAAATCAAAAGTCAGAAGCGAAGAGGTTTGAAGATATATCTAGATTGGCTAGTGGTTGCAGGAGAAGTTGAGCACGGCGTTTCCACTTGTGATCTGATGCGGATACATGACCGAGTGCCTTCAGCCAGGTGAATCCACTAAGACTAATGTAGTCAGCATCAAATATCGAAGACTTACAGGGGGATTGATTTTGGGGATTTATCTACCGCTACAAATGTATCATGAGACTGTTCATACAAAAACTATATCGGATTTTACTTATCATAAGATATTAATGATCTATTTATTCTTGTATCCATTACTGAAATATTTATAAGAAATCTAACCTATTAAAAGCTCTTTATGTGGACACCAATGGTCGTGTTATGTCTGATGGTGAAATTTCATCCAAACGAGTTCTTTACACTGACTTTTACCAGGAAATAATAAGCTCTCAGTATTCAGTTAATTTTATTACAGAAATTATTTTATAGATGTCGTTATTGGTGTCTGAGTGTTCAAACATTATTAACCTTTTATTAGGAGATTCACTTATCGAATTGGAATACCGCCTACTACAGTTCTGGTTAACGCAGATACTGACAAATCCAAAATCTTATCATTACGTTTATCGAAATTCCAAGGATTTTAGAAAGTCTCTTCTAATTCCCTCAAAGTGCAAAAAGTTCCTCCAGGACTAGTCTAAATCAATGCATACGTTAATGATACAGTGTGAAGTAGTTGAGGTCGGTGACCACTTCGTTTTCCTCTTCAGCGCGATTGGGTCGGTATCTGACGATAATCTGATATAGATATTAAAATCCTGTTTAGTTTTTAGTAACCCTTAACAATTGTAGAGTAGTCGAGACTTTCATCTACAAACCAAAGGGTGAGTATACTAAGCAGTTCACTCTATATTACTCAATCGAAGTGAAACACGCTTTATGAAAATCGATGACATCTATAGGTTATAAGTTTTACTATTACGGGTTTTCGAAAAGTACTCCTTATTCATTGTTCAGAGACGGTATGAAGAATAACAAAATACTAGAGAAAGATGTCAAACCAATTAACGGAATATTGAATCTTTATCAAATAAGGCAGTTTCAACATGAGTTATCTAACTACAATCACCACCTATTTCAACATGCAATTTTCATTGGAATAGGATTAGTTTGGAAGGAAATTCAATGCATTCAAATCAACATGTAGCCAAAATCTATCAAATAAAGTGAGTTGTGTTGCTAGACACCGATAACTCGATTTAGTACTACAAGGTAACCGTGATGATTGATTGACATATAGTTGAGAATCGGTCACAATGACATAGAAATCTCCCAAAACCTTAAATATCAGAATTACCTAATGCATTCTATCCTTATTTGTAACGTAATTAAAAGTAGTAGTAGTAGTATTAGTAGTAGTAGTAGTAGAAGTTGTTGTTGTTACATTTCTCAATATATTAGAAACTTAATTTCAATTTTGAGAAATATTTTTCAATGGTTAAGATCATTAGTCAGTTGAAGCTAGATCACTATGGAATATCTGGAAACACTGGACGGCCGTTTCGTCCTGTTGTGAGACTCCGCAGCAGTGCGCATCCGCGACCTCGCCCCTTGCGATATTCAAAGCGAGGACCTACTGGTTTAGCGCGCGAGCATTTAATCATTGAAATTACTACAATCTCCACAAAACCCCTTCTGAAATATTTCTCATCGTTATAAGACATCAAAAACAAAAGAACATTGAAATACAAACAAAAATTATTATCTATTACACAAGTTTATTTTTTGGATGCAAAAGAAACATTTTTCGTTGTTCATATATGTATGCATGTATGTATGTATGTAGTGTGTGTGTGTGTGCTCATATGTGTGTATCGTTAGTCATAGTAATAGTAATAATATTGATAGTATTAATAGTAACATGTCTGATAATTTTACATAATTTTTTTGTGATTTAAGAGAGAAAAACATAAAAATAATATATGTATATATATATATATATATAAATATATGTATATATGGCAACAGTAAACTTCGATCATTCGATCAAAGAATAAAAACTCAATCAATAAACATTCCTTTTCTTATACCCAAATTATTATTCACAATAGTACCAGTAACAACACATTACTAGTAATAGTAGTGGTAGAAGTAGTAGTAGTAGTAGTAGTAGTAGTAGTAGTAGTAGTAGTAGTAGTAACATTGAAAAGTATCGTTTTTTTGTGCACTTGAGTACACTGTTTCTGTGTACAGAAAATTTAATAAGAAGGAAGGGAGGCAATTTAAAGATGTGTTAGATGAGAAGCAAATGGGAGTTCCAGTGTTAATAATAATAATAATAATAGTAATAATAATTTTGTAATTACATTAGTTTTTATCAAATTATCTTCAATCAATTATCGTAGTGAGGAAGAGTTTACCAACAATAATGCAACAAGGTATTCATATATATATATGTATATCCATTGAATATTTTGTTAATAGTGCAAAATATGTAATTGTTCTTTAAGGAGCATATTTGAAATTACTGGACATTTGAATAAAAACAATTATGAATATCTTATGTATAATAGAGATCATTTGGTATTTCATCAGAAAAGTTATTGTTCCATATGTGAACAGTAATAGTTTACAGATGTATGAATATAAATAATGAAAACTGAGAGAAAGTGAAAGAGAATAGGGAAAGATTCATACCTATTAGTGTATCGTAAATATTTCACAAATAATTAGAAATGAACATCATAATAATGATAATGATTTGCATTCATTTGGCATATACATATGCTGTACTTATACAGCAGTTCTGTTCTTTAAAAAAGTCAATAAAAGGGATTGGGATGATGAAGATGATGATGGTGGTGGTAGTAGTGGTAGTGGTGGTGGTGGTGGGGCAATCAATGGATGATTCAATGTTGCACTACAAAGTTGATGATTAGCTTGTTATATTCTTATTTATTCGTTTAATTCATTGAAGTAAATACTCTCATTCATATATTACATAACTAATGACAATTTGAATATTACAATTACTATTAAAATTGTTGTAATAGAATGGATATCGTCATTATTATTAGTGCTTTTACTATTAATGTTACTATTATTATTACTAGTATTATGGTCATTATTGTAAAAATAGAATTACTGAAAGGAATAAACAACAAAAAAAGACAGAAAAAAATACAAGCAAATAAAAAAAATGAAGGAAATTACGCAACATTGATTGTGCTAATGACAAGATAGTGAATTGGTTAGATAAACAGACAGATGGTAAGTAGTTATGTAACTAGGTAGGTAGGTAAATAGATTAGTATAGTATAATGAAAAATCCAAATAATCAATCAATCAATCAATGACTAGGTCAAGAATACTGATGGAGGTGAGTGGGTGGATGTTATTACTGTTGTGGTAGTGACAATGAAAAAAAAAATTCATCGAATATTATCTTCTTATCTAGAGAAATGTACACGATGTAAATGAGTTTGCATTTTATCCCATTCCTAGACAAACCATTTTTTCACAAAATTAACATCACTACTAAGTTATTTTTTTTTCAGTAATTCATAATGTTTATCATTGAAGAATAAATTAAACAGGAAAGTAAATCAAGAATAGATAGAAAATAAGCTGCCTAGAAAAAAAGAAACATACACAAACAAATTAAGAGAGATGAAAGGGACACTGGAAAACTTCTGTAACATCAACTTGTTACAAATATCATTTCTTAACCTTTTGAAGCATAATGAAATAAAGTAAACTGAGAGTAATTGACTTCAGTTATATTCGTACAACAGTAAATATAGTCAAGTTATATTCATGAATATGTCTTGTTCATTGGATATTATTATGATGATGATGATTATTGATTTGTGTATTTCACAAGAGTGAAAAGAATGTCATTCTGTTTGTAAATATATGGATGAATGTTTTAACTAATTAGAAAAAAAAAAAAAAGAAGTCTATCACTGTGTTTTATTGTAGGGAAGATGGGGGAGGACATGAATCCACCGGGGTTTTAAAAGATGGTGCGTAAAATTTATAAGAAGTTCTTATACATATATATATATTCATAATCAAATAATTATTTCCTGATCAGTAGAATTGTTTCCATCTGTTTTTCTGTATAGATTAGTTAATGTACAAATTTTTAGTGCATATATATATATATCATAATGTTAACCTGCATGGATATCTTGTAATGATGGTTGGGGTATTGTGTCTTGTCCACCAACGGAAGGTAAAAACCCACCACTACTATGATGATGATGTGAGTGATGATGATGATGATGATGACCAGTTACATGATTTGTGTGATGATTATAATTTGATAAATTTAAATTTGTATGTCTATTTAACACAGGGAATGATGATGATGATGGTGAGGATGATGATGATGTCGGTGAACCAGCAGTAGGATTATTTATTGAATGTTGTAAATGTGCAGATGGAATGTTATTCATCACATTATTAGGTCCATTAAATATTGAATTATCATTATGTGTTGGAGATAATGGTGTTGGATGACCAGATGACATAGAATGACCATTACTCATTCCTCTATAATTAGGTGAATTATAACCTGTAGTGGATAGAGACAGTGTAGAATTATTACTTAAATTAGGATTATGATTATTGTTAGTCGTAGTGGTAGTAGTTGTATTAGTTGCAGAATAATTACGTTTCAAACTTTGTTGTTGCTGTTGTTGCTGTAAGGCAAGTGCTGCCGCGTACTGAGCAACAGCTAAAGTTGCCTTTTGCACACTGTCCACATCAGCAGCTGTACGCATTTTCGATTCATTCGTTGTATAATTATAATTATTATTATTATTGTCCGAAATGTTGTTACTATTATGGGAATTTTGAAACAAACCAAACTGTCCAGGGAATTGATTAGAATGTCTTCCAGACATATGATTAGGAGTGTTCGACGGTGGAGTTGGTGAAGGAGTGGAATAAGGACCATAGGGAAGATGACCACCTAATATTGGTGGGTAAGCACCTCCACCCCCAACACCATTTCCAGAGTTGGGGAATAAACCACCACCACCACGCTGATAATTATTTGGATTCGGGAAATCAGAGTCTGGTAAACTACCACCGCCTAAATAATTTGACATATATCCTCCTCCACCAGGAAGATTGGAACGCCCAGAATTTAAATGACCGTCTAGATCACCAGCTGACGCGTTGTTTCCAACTGCAGCGGCTGCAGCTGCCGCATAGAACTCTTCAGGACGAAGAGATGATGGGTGAAAGCCTAAATGAAAAATTGTTTCAGAAAAGAAAAACAGAAAATAGATTAAAGATATGACGAAATAATAAAGAGAAAAGTACTGTATGAGCCGTTAATAACAAATTTACGTTTCTAGTGAAAATAAATACGTTTCGCTAGATTTCAAATAATTTTTTAGTGATGAATAATGGATTGATGTATACTCCTATTATTGTAGACTAATCATCAGTCTGGAACAATACATAACCCACATTTGAGTACTGACGTAATAAGTTAATTAGTCAGTCAGTCATCAGCAATGTAAGAACTTGACACATATGTGCATTCATTCAACTTACCACATCATAGGAGAACACTTAGAAGAACTTATCAAGAAAAATACCAAAGCAGTAGAGGTCAGAGAGTGAATATGTTTGTGTCATTGTGACCAATTCTGAACTATTTTATGCATTTTTAATTAACCATGATTAAATGGTGGTTGGAGGTAGTTGACAGGAAACCCTGGATCAAGGTTTCGTGCTACTTGGCACTCGTCAGCAAGGTGTACTTATAATCTTGAATGAACTGATGCTCTCTGATGGATTTGATCCCGTGTCACCCAGCTTCACAGTCAGAGAAGTTACCACTGGGCTATCCGAGCTGCGACCGACCTCCTGTAGGACGGAGATGTAATCACAATTGATTGATCACTGGGTGGTGATCAATATCATGTGTGTCAAGTCATTCTTAGTGCAGATCGAATGCTCTCGACCAAGTGACACAGGATCTAATTCGTCAGGGAACACTAGTTCCCTCAATATTATAGGTACATCTTAGTGAAGAGTGCCAAGTAGCATGAAAACCAGGTCTAGGGTTTCCTGTTGACTACCTCCAACCACCATCTAATCTCATAATAGTGCACATAGTATCGAGTCACCTAGACTAGTGGCCACATTGCAGCATGGTCGATAGCATTCGGTCTGCACTAATAAGGACTTTGACACACATGACATTGATCACCATCCAGTGATCAATCAATTGTGACTAATTAACCATGAGTTACGATGAAATTACTTGGAAACTAAATATACACCTTGCCGATGTTTAATTAATAACACAAAAGCTACATTAGACGAAATTACTTGTCGATCAATTACTCAATTGCTCCGTATCTCTCTCTCTCCTTGTTGCTTCCCATTTTCATATTTAAAATTAAAATACTTCCTCTGAAAAATCTATGACTACTTATTGATTAATTCTCACCTCCCCCCCCCCTATGCCTCTTTTACTTATCCTTACTATTGATAATGATTTATGTATTGTCAAATGACAAAAATAAAAAGAAATTAGAGTGAGTCATGGATGAAAGAAGACAAATAGAAGTAAATAAATAGACAATAATAACAAAAAAAAAGAAATATTAACCCATTTATGAAAGTCAATTCATATGATTATTACCATTATTATTACTATTATTATTATTATTATTATTATTAATATTACTCGTCTTCTGTTACTCATAGCAAAAAGATATAAGAAGCATTAATAATAAACATTATTAGTCATATAAATCATAATTCATTTATTTGATCTGCGATTATCTGTATGTATGTGTATGTGTGTGTATGTATGTTTATATAGGTATAATTGTGCATACAATTGTATATAGGCACCCCTAACATGGATGAGAGATACGTATATATATATATATATATATATACATCTATCTTCATTTAATGATGATAGTTTAATCATTAAAACTTTAATGTTCATTCCGTCTACATTAGTTTTAATAAATAAATAAAATGGATTTTTTCAATTAAATTTAGAATCATTACTATCAAAATAGTAATAATAGTAGTATCACAATTGCTTTTAAACAGATTGAAAAATGAATGAAGGATAATATGGATTTCATTTTATCTGTATCATGCCAATATAGGTTAATATGCCGGTATGTGTGTGTGTGAGAGAGAGAGAAAGAGAGAGAGGGAGTGTGTATGTTTGTACGAGCTAAATATGTCATTTCCAGATAAAAATAAAAAGTGACTTGTCTTTTGAAAAAGCTGATTCATATTGGTGAAAAAGTAATATACCTGGAGTATTGCGAGATATTATTCCTTACTATCGCATAATCGCTATGACTTTCTGCTAGTAATACTATATATACAGGTTTTGTGTCCAGTCAAATGTCACCTTGTTGGTAATATATAGTTGATGAGTCTCTTAAAAGCGAAGTAGGACGAAACCTCCAATCATATAATCGATCCCATGAGAAAAGTTAAAAATATCAATCATCGGATATTCAGTTTATAGTCATCTGTATATCAAAATGTTCACTATTAATTCATAAGTTTCTGAGTTTGATTTATAGAAGAGCACAATTGAAAATAAACAATAATCTCTTATATATTTCTTGATTTGCAACGATTTTCTAGCTTATCTATGATGGAAGATATGAGATGAATCATTTCAAGAAATCGCTTATGTCGATAGCATCAATTCAACACTAAATAGCTAGTATCTTGTAAAAGTATTGTTGAATAGTTTTTCCCCAAAATATCATATTCATTAATTGAATGAACCTGTGTATGATCAAGTTGAAAATACAATCGAGAATATTTGGTACATCAAAGGACATTAGGATAATTATTCGATAATCAAGTGATTGATCTACCACGTCATTCGTAGGTTTTAGAGTAGAACATGGATGATATTTAAGTAATCCCTGAGCGGTAGCCTATTGGATAAGGTGTTTAACTTTCAGCCACTAATTCCACCACACTCCATTTATTTCTGTTTGGAAAACCGGGCAGTATTATTAGTCCTAACACTTAATGTATGGCTCATAAACTAGTACATAATAAGTAATTTAATTTAATTCTTATTAATAATCTCGATTCAGTAGAAGAACTAGTAGATCCTCTTCTTCAAATAGTAACAACAAACTACACAATAAACTAACGTATTAACTACATCAATATTAACCCCAAAAGGTGGTTAGCAATGAATATCTGTTCGATTTTAGTTAGGTAGTCTATAAAAATACACTGATTCTGTATTGTCTGATTTACAATGACAAGTTTAAGGTCAACAAGAACCAATCAACATCGAGGTGTACAAGACAATCTGTAAACCACATACAGAAAAATTCAAACACTTTACTTCTACCTGAAATTTGTGCTGACGATATCGTTCATAAGACCAATGAAAGCTTCACGATCAAACCATCCATCTCAGAAAATCAAACTCCATCAAAATGTCTTACACGGAGTCGGATCTAGAATAGGCCGGCTAACTATCAAATGTGTTAGTAAGTTTTCAATGATTCACATATTCCCAGTACTATTAATCACATTACGCGACCATTATCATCATCACCATCATCATCATCATCCGAATAACAGTTAAATATACAGGTGTTTAACAGTGTTGTAAATATTTTCATTGGCTTATCAAATGTTACCACAACATAAATGAAAAATAAATTTAAATTATCTCTATAAAATCCCTATCCTAACAAATATATTAAATTTAATCCATTTATATTCGTAAGAATATATATATATATATATATATATATATATGTTACTACCCACCTGGACGACCATAGGCAGCAAAATGTTGATTATCCATATAAGGTAAGCATCCTGCAGCATCGGGTGGATAGCCATGTGGTCCTATTAATTTGCAATTAATGAAATTTAATAAATGTATGTATAATTAGAGGACATTATCAATAATAATAATAATAATAATAATAATAATAATAATAATAATAATAATAATAATAGCACAATAAGTGATAATGAATAGGCAGTCTTATTAGAATATATATATTATGTGAAGGGGGGGGGGAACATCGTTTATTTAAATCCACTCTAATCTGTCACAGTATCAATAAATATAGCAACATGCACAATCCATACATGTACAAAATACATTGTGGCTAGACACATATTGGATACAAACGAATGACCAGGCAACGAAAAATTAAAAAAAATGTAACCGATGATCAAATTACATAATTAAAAATAAATAAGAAATTATTTTTTAATAATCTCAGTCAAGCTAATATTTTTCCAGTCTACAATAACACAAAGAACTAGGTGTAAGAAGGAAATCAGTGAACCATATCTTAAATTGAATATTAGTAACTGTTTTATAGCATTTTAATAATTGGTGGCTCATTTTAAGACTACGGTTCTATTTGTCTCTCTCCCTCTGTGCACGTGTGTGTCTGTACATGTACAAGTATTTATAAACAATTATGTACATAATATACTCAATGTCCGTTGGTCGAATACCATCAGTAAGAACTTGCTATGGGAGAGAACAAACGAGCTTCCTGATCAAGAGAAAATTAAGAAAAGACGATAGAAGTGAATAGGACAAACATTACGGAAATCATCAAACTGTATCATGAGGTGAGTGCTAACTTGGATTCCTGAAGGGAAACAGAAAAGAGGAAGGCCAAACAACATACTGAGTCGAGAATCCGAAGCAGATATCAAAAGGATGAACAGCAACTGGAAAGGATTGCCCAGGACAAAGTTGGGTAGAGAATGATGGTTGGTGGCATATGCTCCTCGACGAAGCGTGACAGGCTTAGGTAAGTAAGTGACTAAGAAATAAGAAACTAACTAGAAGAATTTTATATTTCAAAACTTCTTTTATATTTTCTCTGACTTTCAACCTCCTGGTCATGTAACTTATAGGGTGGGAATTTGATCGCTATTAGACTCAATGACATATAGTACTAAGGACATTCATATTAGGTCGAAGCCATTGTCCAAGTCTCCCTGATTTTCAATATTACTCCCCTTATTGATGTTACTCTATGATAAATGTGGCCTATAAATTAAACCAGGCTTTAAAGAACTATCCCCAAATTCACTGAAAGCTCAATAGACTTAGGGATTAATTGAATAAGTGAAGACCATCACAATATTCACATTCAGTATGTCTTATGTTCATGCACGTAAACATATTTATAGTAAGTGAACTATTATACTAACAATCCGGTTTCTGTGAATAATTAAATATAACCATAATATAGGATTTAATCAAAAGTGATTTAAAGTAACCTTATGAATTTATAGCCACTTTTTCAGCTAATCAATAGAGAGCTAGTATAAATTGAGAATATTTTGCAAGAGAAGCAATGAAACCGATTAGATTATGAGTAGATTGGAGAGGAAATATCACTTCATTTATAGTAAGAGGACAATATACAATCATCACATTGACATATTTATTAAACTTAATTAGCAGTTGAATCCACCAGTCAATCTAAGTTAGACAATCATTGAACATCTGGAAGCATTGGATGACCATTTCGTCTAGGTATGGGACTCCTTAACAATATGAAACCGTGGATTCACATTGCTGAGGAGTCTTATACTGGGAAGAAACGTCCTTCTAGTGCTTTCTGGTTTTTAATGGTGGTTTAAAATTAATCCATTCATGATATCAATCTAAACTCAAAAATCTCCACAACCCTATACTGATAAAACATTGCAATCTAGAAATGTACAGTACTTACCGGCTCGATTTGATTGATCAATCATTGGTTGAACAATACGTCGTCGAGCATTAATAAACCTATTTAGAGAAAAAAAACATGTAGAAACCAAATAAGTATTTTTCAATAACTTTGTCAACTCATAGTTATCATTGGTACAACCGACAAAATAAATCAAGTATAAATAAGTATTTAATAGTCTTGTTTATGCAATGCTCTGATTAGATACATATCAGAATAAACTGAATGGTCAATTCTTAATTAATCTACTATTTTGTAGCTATTTCCGACCTACTCCTATATCGTGAAGTATTTAAGAGTTCGAGTAGAAAGTCGCACAACACATATACCTGGAAATCGACATTAAAATTACATCTTTTATGAACTAGAGATCAAATATAAAATCTTTCAAGACTCTTACAGAGTCCTTAACCGTGAACCAACTGAGTTGGTTTATATTTATAACTTTGGAGAACTATCAATAATACGTAACAATCTTCCAATGGGATTGTTGAAAATTGGCTTCACACTTATCATGATTGTGTTCTTTTCATCAACGCTTCTGGTTAGACATATGGGAATCACATCTAAAAATTGGTCAATAGAAACTAAAATATCTTAGGTTCAATCCCCAGTAGGTTTTTGAATGAGTATTGGGACTAAACACCTATCCAGTACTTCTTAGTTTCCAACGGTTGTCTAATTAAGGTCAGTTTGTGATATAAATTATAATATGAACTATCTATTAGAATTAGTTAATTCCCTATTTGTACCTTTTATTTTTTCTAGAAATACTAATTATTAGCCTCCTTATCTTTTTCATCACAAATGAATTCATATCAATTTTATTGACTCTCCACCCTCCTCTTTCTTCACAGTCTCTCTTTAAACATTTCATTATTGTTATCTTAATTCTTTTTCTTCTTCTTCTTTATTTTTGTTGTTTTGAAAAATTACCTCATTTTCCATTTTAAATAATAAATTAATCTTCAAAGTCAGGAAATATTTTAAAATTTTAAAAGAGACCATGTTGTTCACCTCTTTATTGTTGTTATGCCCTCAAGATGTGAACAATAGGGGTGGGGGATAGATGTGAAAAAAAAAGAAATTAAACAGAGCAAATAAACATTAAATCAATTGAGAAACGGAACGGTTTTAATCTCTTTTTTATTATTATTATTACTATTATTATTATTATTATCATTATTATGTAATATCAGTTATTCATATTTATCATATTATTGTTAGTATTAATATGTATGTTATTCGATTGCCTAAAGGCTGAAGAGTAATATCATCCGTTTTTAGAATTTAGTCTATTTACCTATACAAAGAATAGAATATCTGTATTAGATACTGAGAAAAAGAATCTTAGACAAATGTAAATAAATATGAAATGAGAAATATATTAACATAATGATTAATACTAATGATAGATACAATATTGTGATTGTATTCTCTTTTAAATAAACAACCTGTTATATATTTTTTAAAAACGAATATGAGTTAATTGAATCTAGACCATCATGGAAAACCTGAAAGCATGGGAGTCCTCAGAAGTGAATATCCATGATTCAGCCACACGAGTTTCAAACACAGTACCTATCGGTCTCACGCACGAGGGCTTAACCAATAGACCATTAAGCCGATTGGCATTCAACGGTGTTAATGTTTAACTTCGACTAATCCATGAAGTTGAGCCATTGTCCACCATTGTCATCAGTGAGTTACTATCTCACAACTGATTCGGTTGAACTCCACTAGAGTTAGGGCTTCTTACTAGAACTCCAAGAAATACCTCTTTAAGTCAGTCACTAGTGAACTTATGATTAATATATTTCCTATGAAATTCATACTTAAATCATATCAAAGATTAAGTATGAATCACTTTGCTGATAAATATCAACTAACACGAAACCTTAATAAAGGAATTCTTATAGATTAACACTAATTAATCATCCTAAAGTTAGTAAATAATGCGCTGACATGTGAAGTCAGTTAGACTAGTGATCAAATTGCAGTTTGACAGATAGAATTCTTTCAGCAGTATTATGAATTAAATAGACATGTGTTAAGGTCAGTGAAATAACAATGAACTTGAATCGAATCAGTCTGTTCAGCTAAACGTATTTCGACATGGAAAATATGGTGACTAAACGTTTCATTGTTTATTGTAACTCATCAAACTCAAGGATAATTATTACTAATGAATCAGTAGATACATTGAAACAAGTACGTACAGAATCTTTATAACTTTCTGTCCATGTTCCCACCTTATTCTATTTACATTTAAATATGAAACTTTTGTTAAAACTTCATATATTTCCGAAGTAAGTTATTGAAATAAAACAGTCTGACTACTAGGATGGAGTGGATCAGACTAAATAGTTATTTAATAATGTAGCTTCAGAGTAAAACTACATAAGTCAAGCAGTTAAACTGTCCCAGTTCAACACAATTTGAATGAGATTATTAGTTAGATAAGATAAACACGTTCAATGTGTCAAACACAAATCGAAATTTTCACAACAACTCAGAGATCGATTAACTTAGCTATATAGCTTTCTATGTTGGAAACTAACAAAAAAAATGGGTCCAATCTCTTCTACACACATTCATATAAATACAAAACACGTATACATATACAATTGCTTACCAGTTATTTACTTGTAGAATTGTTAAACCAGTATCTGTAGCCAATTGCTTTTTTTGTTCTTCCGATGGATAAGGATGCTAGTTTTAAAAGAAAACATTTTTAGAAAATAATTTACGTTCAATAATTATGATCACCAATCAAAATTATCTTCCAAAAAAGGAAATTACGGCTTCCACATTTGTAAATCTCACCAATGGAAAACCAGTAGAAACACCAGAGTACTCAATACGGTTACTTTATTATAAGGTACCTCAGATCTTACGTAATCTCTCTCTCTCTCTCTCTCTCTCTATATATATATATATATATATATATATATATATATATATATATATAGTCACTTGGTGTTGTTTTACTTGTACCTTTCCATGGTTATTTAGGACTGCAATTGATTAGTCTCATGTTAGTATATGTGCATTCTGTGCAGATTGTCTCAATATAGCCTTATGTCACAAGATTTTTAAACGAAGATCGATAGTAGCTAGCTGTGGAATTCAGAACGCGCGTTTCTTCCTATTTGAGGCTTTTCACCTGGATGTACCTGTATCTCAGGATCGATTTTCATTCCAGGACTCGAACCCAGTGCCGTTCGCTTCAAGCGCCATCGCGTTATCCACTTAGCTACTGAGTCCTGATAGCGCATCCTGGATTCCACTGCTAGCCACTATCTATCTTTGTATATATATATATATCTTGGAAGTTTGTACACTACTGAAAAGCCTCTGAACTAAAATTAAATAGTTGTCCAATAACTTCCCAGTTTTGCAATACTATTCTAAATAATATTATTTAACATAATAATTTTCGGATTTTAATATTATTCATGAAGTATCCAAGTAAGTCTAGTCAATGATAGCCTACTCATAAACAATTATAAGTAGTCTGATTATTTTTCAGTATAAAAAATGTTTATCAAACTGAGTAGTTAAATAGGGAATAGTTTTTGTCGGAAAGCACTGATGACAAGTAAATAAAAACTAAAACATAATGACCAGTTTATGTCATTGAATAAAGATTGTGTTTCATTAGAAACTAATTGTGACTGAAGATTATGGATATCACTAGTGTTTTTTTTTTGTTTTGGCAGTGTGATATGATGATTATAATTCCGTAGTTAATGAATTCCTAACATAAGTGAAATAACAGTCTGAAATTCATCAGTAACTTTCAATGATTAGTTAGATGACAACATATGGTATGGTTTACCTCTGGTCTTTTACATTTTTTAAGTGATCATGTATATTTAATGAAGATATATATCGAACTCATAAATGCACTGAAGTTGAAAATATACCCGAGTAACTGTTAATAGTTAAACTATGTAAATTCGACGAAATCAATGTGGACATATTAGGTGAACACTACTGAAATGTTACCAAACTAGAAAGAAAACAACTATGTATTTTATTACAAAAATTTTCAATGACTTTCCTTACAAGAAACTGTCATGTACACCCTCTCTCTTACCATCATGAATCGATTGAAGTTAAACATTAACACACTTGGATGACGGCCGGCTCAATGATCTACAAGTTAAGCATTCCTTTGTCAAACTGAAAGTCCTGGGTTCCAGTCTCACTTGAATGGTCGTGGATGTGCACTGTTAAAGAGTCCCATATTAGAATAAAACGGCCATCCATGTTTTCAATGGTGGTCTAACTTAGAATGACTCGTGATTTCAACTGTGAAAATATCACAACCTCTACCAATCCCCATATTGATAAGATCATTGTTATCAAGAGATTTATGCATTTTCCTTTATCTTGGATAATAACCTTGATTTAAATAACTTATCTAAAATCGATTGTCGTTTATACTTCATAATGACATGATCTATGTATAACATTCCATTTCTAAACTCGTATCATTATACTCTATTCTAGACTATAGTAAACAACTGAAGAGAAATCAATGATAAATCTAACTGACCTACAATTATTCTGTTTATGTTCATTTAATTAAAGAAATGACTTACATAACATTAAAGAATGTCAAAACATCTGACCTTCTATTGACTAGGATATTATAAATTTATGTATTTAGAATTCATTCAACGGTCAATTCATCAGAACATATTAAGTCAAACCTTAGATTCATCATACTGATAGTTATTATTATTCTTGTTCAGATTAAGTTATGTTCTTATTAAGAAAAGATTATGGAAATGGACAGGACATACATTACGCAAATCATCAAACTACATCACGAGACAAGCGCTAACTTGAAATCCTTAAGGGAAGTGGAAAAGAGGAAAGCCGAAGAACATATTACGTCGAGAACAAAAAGCAGATATGAAAAGAATAAATAACAACTAGAAACAGTTGGAAAGGATTGCCCAGGATAGTGTTGGATGAAGAATGCTTGTGGGCGTCCTATGCTCCTCCACGAGGAGTAACAGGTGTAAGTAAGTAAGTCCTTACTCATTTCAGTAATGTTAGTTAGGATAGATTACATATCTACATATATATATATATATATATATATATATATATATATATATATATATATATATACATGCATACACACATGTATCCATACTTACTGATAGATGTTGAAATAGCCAAGCTCGCATAATATTTGTAGCAGCTTTAGGGAAAATACCACGTTTTTTCTGACGTTTTATTGATTTTTCTTCTAAATCGAATTCATCAAAATTTTCACCTGATCCAATTGAATTATCAATTCCATCACCTGTAAAGGTACATGTTTGTTTATGTTTATAAAAAAGAAAAGGAAGAAAATATGAAATGATGAAAAAAAATAAAAAGAATAATGATTTTTTTTTTTAGTTTTTTTTTCTTAAAAGAGAAACTAACATTGGAATGTAATGCGCATATTACCTATTGAATATGTTAATAGTTATCTGAATAGTGCAGTTTGGCAAGAGTTAGTATAATATTGACATTTAAAAAATGATAGTAACCGGATTAAAAATCTTAAATCATAAAGAGAAATTTAGAATAGATTGATCTTGTCTTAACAGTTTCCGTGACTAGATTTATGAATTATAAAGTACTCATAATAAGATCATATATAACTAATATCAAACAGTTGTCACATGAACGCCGTAATCATTACCTCAAGTTGACACGATCACTCCCTATTAATCTAGTTTCTTTTTCAGATACCTCAAGAAATGATAATCTCCTTCTATGTATTAGTATTAATATTTAAAATCTTGAAATTATAAGATAAATGGAATTTTACTATTGAGATAAACTTGTCAGTATTACAACTTCACAAACAACAACTAATCAATGGTATACCTAAAAGAATCACCATGAACTAATTAAAATGAAATATCTTTGCAAGTTAAGTATTTATCTATTTATCGGATATTATTATATAAATGAGGAAGAACGTAGTAAATGTTACTATTATTTTATTAAATAAAGAAAATATACAATCAGATAAATAACATTACAACATACCCGCTTCACTATTCATATCTTGACTGGCATTACCATGACTACGAGACATTGGTGTATTGGACTGAGATAAATTTTGTGACATATGATTGAGTGAATGTGGATGATGATTATGAGTTTGGCGACCCAAGCTATGATCAGCAATATGTTGACTGTTGGAAATTGTTGTACCAGAAGCAGTACGTCCACCTCCACCAGAATTGTCAGATGACCGTCCACGATCACCACCACTACCACCGCCGCCGCCTCCACTGCCATCCCCACCACCTCCTCCATTTCCATCACAACCTCCACCGCCGCCACCACCACCACTACCACGATTGTTGGAGTTTCCACACCCAGATGTTCCATTACGGTGACATGTGTTTCCACCGCCATTAGGACTAGTCCGATCATCTACATCCGGTGACCGCCGACTTCCAACACTTCCAAGTAAAGGGGAAGAATTCTAAATTGTTTTCAGATAGGAAAAAAAAAGCAGGCGGAAGTATGAATGTAGCATTACATATATTGTTTTGTTGTTATCGTTAATATTATTATTGTCATTATTATGAGTATTACCATAAATCAAAAAAACTAATCAAATTAAAGATCAAAGCGAATGATAATCATATATATATATATATATACCGTCGGGCTATATGAACAGACGTCAATGGACATACATAAATATATATGTATGTATAAAAACATTTAAAAAAAAACGAAGAGAGAATACGTGTATGCTGCTGTCCATACTCTGATTATCAAATGTCCCCATATATGTATGCTTATACACATATCTACATATAGATGAGATAGGAAAGAATATAGTCTATTCTAGTTTTATGCTTACAAATCATAATAATAATAATAATAATAATAATAATTTCCAAAAAGACAATTGTCAAAATTATTAGAATAAAAGAACTTTAGGAAAAGCGAGTTTTAAAACAATATTCATTTCCTGATTTTGTCAAAAATCGCTTATGTATTGTTGGTGTTTATAATGTTTCATAGGAACTATGTATGTATTCTGTCGTACTGTGTATGTATTTGTTACATATATACATATTTGCGCATGTATGCAGTATATTGTCCTATATAATATGTGTATGTATGTATGTATATGTGTGTGTGAATATGAAACCATATGAAGTATTACTGAGTGTATGTACATATATGTAAATACATACACATGTAAACATACGTTGCTGTCAAAACAAGAAATGAGAAATGGAGACAGTAGGAAAAAAAAAGTAAAGATTAAAGGAGGAATGACAAACAATGGAAGGAATCTAGAATGACAATATTAATAATAACAATAATAATAATAATAACAACAATAATAATAATAATAAAGGATGGTAGCCCAGTAGCAATGATAATATCGAACGAAAACAACGATCAGTAATTTGTATACACCATACTATTGACAAAAAAGTATACAGGAAATGTTAATGTAAAAACTAATTGGAATAAATTTCATTTACTGAATAAAGTAATCGAACGGTTAGTAATTATAATTCAATATATGATAAAGTATGCCCTATTAACATATTTGCTTTATATATATTAAAATTAAGAGAAATAGTTTATAATATTTAATTGCCAAATCTGAATACTACTACTACTACTACTATCATGGTGTATACTACTTATATTGACAGATATAAGTAGTGTGACGTACTAATCAGAAGATGAATGCCTACCAACAGAAGATTCAGAGCGATCGAATTGAAGCAAACAAAGAGCAATTATAATAACAACAGAATTGAAATAATCATAAAGTATGTATAATACAGTTGAAGGAAGATGTGCACATAATGTATTTAATAAATGGTTTTCATATTTTACGAAGGCACCCTGTAATTTTGCGTCAACGAATAAGTTGGTTTTCTCCACCTGAATTCCTGTGAACCAGACTACTACTACTACTACTACCATTACTACTACTACCGCCACTACTACTACTACTACTACTACCACTACTACTACTACTACTATTACTATGTATTAGTATTGATTGTGTATATTCACCAATCGAATGTTTGCTTCCCTTCACCCAGGTTTCGCTAATAAAATCTTATTGGTCAAGTTACAATGTGGCTATTTGTTTAAATGATTCGATATTACATTCATCATGTTGAGATGCATGGGTGTTAGCTTTAATCAACAGGAAATCCTAGACCTAGATATAGACACTGAAGAGAGCATCAATTCTCTCTTACTGATAAATATTAACCAGATTGAAACTTAGTATAGTGTTGCCTATCGACTATCGCCAAACACTAACACTACTACAAATTAATAATGGAAATAGTAGTATTGTAAGGAAATATTACTAAAGTTAGTGTTCTATTACCTTAAAATGCTAAAACACATTAAAATGATGTTTTGTTAGTTGATATTGCGATTTGTAAAGCTGAATAATCTACATTTCTAAAGTAACAATCCTGAACAATCATTTAAAGCTTTAACAAAGAATTGAGAATAATAAAAGAGTATACTATCAACTGAATTATTGTTTTGTCTAAAAACTTAATGAAATTGTTTTGAATAACAAAAGACAAATTAGTCAACAGTTGCATTCCCAACTGATATAAGTCGAATAGCTAAAAGCTCAAACACTTTTCAGTATAGGGATTTTTGGAGATTGTAGTATTTTCACAGTTCAAGTCACGAGTAGACCTAAGCTATACCATCATTGAAAACCTCGAAGCATTGATGGAGGTTTTGTCCTAGAGTGGAATTCCTTAGAGGTGCGCATCTACAATCCCGCTCAAGGAATTCGAGACCAGGACGTTCAGTCTGACACACAGACACTTATATATATACTAATCCTAAGTCCTAGCAATAACAAACCCTTCATTTATCTTTCCTAACTTCTAATCGGCTAAATTAGGCTAAACGCTCAAGATCATTTAGTAGTATATTTTAGCTTGACAAAAACTATCCCTTGAAGTAATTTTTTAAAAATAAATTCATTATAGAATTTTTTTTCTCTTCACTTCATTCTCCAAGTATCTTATCGTTTAAAGGATGACAAACGTGAATAGAAAGAAAGTAGATAAAATATTTATCATTACAAATTATTGCCTAAGGCATACAGTAAACATTATACATACACAAATAGCTGAAATCATTAATTAATCAAGTACTTCATTTTTTTATCCATCATGAGTACTATTTAAATTAGTAATAATGTAGATAATACCACTACTACTACTACTACTATGAGTAGTAGTAGTAGTATTATAAGTAGTATAAGTCAGCTATTGTCAAGTATTTTCCAAATTAAATAATAATAATAATAATAATAATAATAATAATGGAACTTTCAAAATAAATGAAATAATTCTTTGGGTTAACTTTCAAATTCACCTTTACTGAACTCTAAATTGTATTTTAGTTTCCTTCTAAGCACTTATATTCAACTTATTATAACTGTAATTCACTTGATATACCCCCCCCATTCACGTATATGTATTATTATTATTATTATTATTATATATTCTATGAATACATTCCAATATAAATATAAGCAAATAAGTAAATGAATAATTAATTCAAGTAAATAGGAGAGAAATCGATTTCGAGTCATTATTATTATTATTATTATTAATGTTTTGATTGTTTCTGCTCAATTTTTCTTTTTTTTTTTTGCTTTTCAATTCTGTCAAAAACACTCCCATACGCTTCATTGCTTTATAATTAAATTCAATAGAGAGTGGGATAAGAAACTCATTCATTCACTCATCCCCTCACTCACTCACTCACTAATTCATTTATTCACCACTACTAAACAAAATAACTCAAGAGAAAACACATTAAAAATAAACAAACAAAAAAAGGAACTGATTGGAGAAAGTGAACTTAGTGTACCGCTAGCTCTATAACACATATTAAAGTATACAAATATATATATATAGATAGATAGATGTATGTTCGTGTATGCACGAAGCATTTAATGTATAGTGAATGTGTTTGGAAGGAACAAGAAAGAAAGAAAGACAACGAGAGAGAGAGAGAGAATGAGAGAACGAAACAGCTAAAAAGATGATCGTGAACAAAATGAAAGTTATTTTTCTTCTGTAGAAAGAAAAAAAAATTAAGATAAGCAAAAATCGGTAGCAATAAATGGAAGAATATAAACTAAATAAAAATCGTAATAAAATAGGTTTCTTTCCTTCTTTCTTTCTTTCTTTCTTTCTTTAGAAAAAAAACAGAACGAAATAAAATTAGACACTTGTATTTTTAGACCAAAAAAAACAAACAACCGAATTAGACAAAAATGAGTGGGTGGGTGGGTGGATGGGTGGTTGGATAGGTGATTGGGTAAGAGGGAGAATGTACAATGCATTTAAGTAGAGCTTATGGAAGAAAAAAAAAAGAAGTTTGTTTATGGTCCATTAGATCTAAATTTGTATAATATGAATTGAAGAGAACAAATAAATCAGTGTTCCATGCAATTGAGCACGAGAATATGTTTGTATATTTTTTAAACACAAACACATACACACCTATACATAGAGTTACACTAATACAAATATTTAGTATTATTATTATTATATTATTATTATTACTATCAATATTCAGGACGATAAATCCTTTAATCTCTAATGTATTATCATTTGAAAAAATGTCCATGAGATATCATAAGATGACGTGAATAGGATACAAATAAATCAACAATCAGTCTCATTATTAATTAACATTAATTAGAAAAGATACACTAATAAAAATTAGAATGCAATAACACAGCTAGTACAGGACATTGTCAGCATTATTCATTTATGATCAGTTTAATATTATAAATAGGATCTTGAAATTTCAAGTCAAGTGTTTAAATTTTAAATAATCGAATAATCAATGAATAAGGACTGATCAAGTTCAATTACATTTAATCAATTAAACAAATCTCCTAGCCAAAATATATTTTGAAGGTACTCAAATGAAAATCTTGTTCTCAACTCAATATACCGTAGAGTTATATATATATATATATATATATATATATATATATATATATATATATATATATATATATATATATATATATATATATATATATGGTTTGAATAATTATTTTTTCTGGTTAGCGTTTTTTAGCGAGTTAGTTTTCTACAGGATGGGGTCGCTAACCCCATGCTCAACTCTCCTCCTTTATCCGGGCTTGGGACCGGCAGTAGCCCACCGAAAGGGACTCCAGGCGGAAAGTTTATTATTAGTATTCTTAATTATTATTATTAATAATTATTATCAAAGCAACATCATCAATTGAGATATTGATATGTTCAGTTAATGAGTCTTTAATGTGAAATAGGAAAAAAAAGATTCCATTTGCAAAATATCCAGTCATAGAGAAATGAAACCAATACTTATTTCCATATTGATTTATCATTGTTACATATTGTCTCTTATCCACCATTTAAAAACAAGTCTATTTTATGATAATTATGAGGTATT